GGGTGTGGCTCATGTTGAGGGGGGGCCCTCTGGTCGCTTAGTCCCAGAGGAGAGTGGAGGAGAGGAGAGCTGCTCACCCGTACATCAGCAGCTTCTTGACCACGTGCCGGCCGTACGGGGACTTGCACAGCAGGGACACCTGATCTGTGGAGGCAGCAACCCACAGCCTGTGAGACCCCCCCGGTCTGAGAAAAAACAGGGGAAGGAGGAGTAAAGAGGGGGGGGTTCCTACCTTGGAGCTCCTCAAACACCTCGTGCTTCTGCTTGTGGCTGCTGAACTGGATGAAACACTGCAGCACCCGCACCGTGTCGTGAGCAAACGCCATCTGGAAGCAGCACAGTCAGCCGGAGCGTTAGCCGGAGCATCAGGTAAGCCGGAGCGTCGGCCGGAACGTCAGCCGGAGCGTCGGCCGGAACGTCAGCCGGAACGTCGGCTCTGTGCTCGGCTTTCCGAGCCGGCTCCAGCACCAGCTGCACCCCTCAGCTATCCCTCAGCTCTTCACTCTGTCCTCTATCTGTCATTTTATTCTTACTCTTGCTCCCTTTGTCCCAGCACACGCTAACCGTTAGCAATGCTAACTCCATGTGAACATCGTTTTACTGCCTGTTGACTGTTTTGGTTTTCTGCTAAAAGACAGTGTTTCTATTCATGTGCTTCCAGGTCAAACCCGGGTCATTAACAGCGGAGCGTGTCGTAACGAAAAATACTTTGACTCCAAGTCAACAAACATGAGCGCTGGAGGTCTGTGGCACCATTCCAGTCACACGACTGTGTTTACAATATCATAATCATTCTGGTAAAGGTTCTAAACATTAGTGCAGAAGAGGGGGCGGAGCCTGGTAAGGCCTCTGAAGCTGACCAATCAGAGCACGGGGTTTTGGGGGAAAAAACGCATGTAGCTGAGACGGAGAAGTTCAACTGCTAACCCTAACCCTAAACCCCCATCTGGGTTAAACTAGAGAAGGCGGGGGGGCGGAGCACCTGCTTGATCTTCCCCCGGATCAGATCATGAAGCTCCTTCATCAGTTTCTTCTTCATCTCGTCGTCACAGGACTTCCTGCAGACAGGAGGCAGCGGTCAGTCAGCAGCGGGACCCAGAACGGGCCGGGTGAGTGTGTGTGTGTGAGTGTGTGAGTGTGTGTGTGTGTGTGTGCTGGGGCTCGTACCTCCGGAGGTTCTCCCACACGCGTTTGGCCTGGCAGATGATGTCAAACATGTCCTTCCTCTCCGCCTGCTGCCGGGTCTTCTTCAGCTCCTTCCTCTTCTGCTGCCTGTTCTGGCTCTCCTCCTCCGTCAGCGGCTGCTTCTCGGGGGGGAACTCGCCTCTCTTGGGCCTCTTGGCGGCTGGACCTGCTCACAGACAGGACGGTCAGGGCAGGAGGACACTGGGTGTGTAGTTAATGTTCTGAATCCAGGCAGCAGACTCACCTCCACCAGCCCCTTTCTCCTCTCTTCTTCCTGGAAATGCTCTTTTTCCCTGTGGACCTTTTCCTGTTTTGTAGGGAACCGCCTTCTGTTCCTTCTTGCCACCGCCTTTGGCGTTCCCCGACCAGCTCTTCTTCTCTGCATTGTACGGTTTGAAGGGCCGTTTGCCGCCTGTTTTACTGCCTGGTTTCCCGCTGAGTTTGGTCCCTATGTTATCTGTCCAGAGGAGGCAAACTGTTAGAAAACATGGTAGCTGAGCAGCGTCGGTTTGAGTGCAATGCGCCTTACCTTTTCCTTTTTTAGTCAGCTTCTTTCCACCTTGAGGAGAAAAGTTCTTTTTGGCTTTAGCTTCCATTTTTATGTGTGACCTATAGAGAATCTATGACTAAAATCAGAAGAAAAACAAACAAAAAAATCAGGTTTACAGGGATTTTGCAGATCACTGCCACATCGCAACAATAAAATCTGCCAAAACATTGAAACAACTTGATATAAAACTTAAATACAGCCCAGTTTTTCACCATGTGAAAGATTCAAGACTCTGTAAGGATTTAAAGATACATTAAAGAGGTAAAGTCACGAAAAGCTCAGCTCTAAAATCAACATTTACAAAAAGGACATTGTATAGTGAGACACATTAAATGTGGTCTCATAGACTACACAGACTCCTTTTCTGGAGATGAATGCTCAGTATGAAGTTCTCAGTGTGACTGGGCCTTTTTATTCTATTAATATAAAGTAAATGTTACAATTCGGAATGATAAGAATACACTGAAGCCAAACGGTTAACTAACTTTACCAGTAAGGAATGAACTGTTTCCATCCCAAAGCAGCATGTTTACTGGAACTCTGTTTGTAAACTGCTGCCACAGGTTAGCTTGGAGCATGAGCTAACTTTAACAGCTTTTTACGGGTAACCACGTAACGGTGGACGCTATCGAAATGTATTATACATGTAACAAGAACACGACTAAATGTGTTACGGTAATAAAGGACATATTTCAGGACTTACCTTTCAGAAGCAAACACACGTAGCTCCCACTGGCTCCATGCGTTCTGACACCGGCACGGATTACGGCAAAAAGCACCCAATCAGACGAAGCTTCACTGCCGAAAACTGTGAGTATTTACGACAACGTTTCCCGGTTTACAGGGCAGCAGGGCGCCACTCTGGGGACCAGTAGGGGGGGTAGTGGTACCCCCCACAAAGACAAATGCAAATTGAATGTGGGTTGAATGTGAGTTAAAGTCTTAAAGTACGTGAAATTTCTTGTTCTTAAGTCTTAAAGTTACAGGAAAAATAGATGTACTCAAGTAATGTAATAAAAAAATACAAGTAAAAATTAAAACAGGACAAATGCAGTTTGAATGACATTTTTTATATTTTGTTAAACTTTCACATTCCAATTAACTTAAAATAATATATACATACATATATACATAAATACACCAAGTGAAGGACAAATTTAGACCAGGGGGTGTATGCTAAGAACATGGTTAAGTGATAGACCAGGCTTGGTAAACCTACAGGAAGTGGTAAACCTGCTAATAGATACACCTGCAGGTATCATTTAATCAACTCCTGGCTCTGCTATTAGATGCTTTACTTATACCACAAGGTTAACTTAAACTGCTTCAATACTGAACCAGCTTCTTAGAATATCCCCCAGGTTTACACAAAAAATACAGTTTTTTTTAAGCCTTCGGTTTTTCCTTCAAGTAAGGTCCTAAGTACATTACAGCACTTAGAGAAAAATTTAACAAAAAAGGTTGCTACGGTTATTGCCATCATAAAACAAAAAAAAAAGGTAAACACAGGTAAAGTGCAGGGAACTTCATCTTATTTGGCATCTGAAGAGGGAGACCTTTTTTGTAAAATTACCTTAACACGTAAAAAAAGTCAGTGCTGAAATGAGGCGTACATCACACCAGAGAAAAAAAGATGCGGCTGTCCCCATGGGAGCGGTGAAACAGGTGTTCCCCATTTCATCAAAAAATTGGAAACTCGAGGAAAGTATAAAGTACTCAAAAGTATACTCAAGTACAGTAGTGAAGTTTTTTTTACTTCGTTACAACACTGGTCAAAAGGCTGTCCTGTGATGTAAGCTGTGGTAGTTTGGTTTCCCATGCTGGACCCGCATCATCAGAGCTCCACCTCTTCAGGACCAGAAGAACCGTTTCCAACCTGGAGGAGGAGAATCAGTCAAGTTTCAGCAACATGCAGCTTTTCCTGCTCATGAAAGCAGCGTCTGAGCAGCATCTCAGGCTTGTTAGTCTGCTAACACAGCTGTTGGTGCTATTAGAGCTAACAGAACTGTGAAAGCTAAAAGAGCTAAAAGAGCTGTTAGAGCTAACAGAACTGTGAGAGCTGTGAAAGCTAACAGAGCTGTGAGAGCTAACAGAGCTGTGAAAGCTAGCAGAGCTGTGAAAGCTAACAGAGCTGTGAAAGCTAGCAGAGCTGTGAAAGCTAACAGAGCTGTGAAAGCTAGCAGAGCTGTGAAAGCTAGCAGAGCTGTTAAAGCTAGCAGAGCTATGAGAGCTAACAGAGCGGTTAGAGCTAGCAGAGCTATGAGAGCTAACAGAGCGGTTAGAGCTAGCAGAGCTAACAGAGCTGTTGGTGTGTCCTGCGTACAGGGGCCTCCAGCAGACGGGCTCAACAGGTAAAACACCCACCTGACTCGTGTCAGACTTCTGAATTTGCTGTTGCTTCCAACTGAGACTGAAAAAGAGAAATAGTCTGAGGTGGGTTTCTGCCTCTTGAGACAGAAAAACAACAAACACACGCTGATGGAGACTCTTTGTGGCAAAAAGTCCTAGAGCACAAACACAAACTACACTGGTCTAAAACAGAAACAACATGATGTCTGTCAACAAAGTAACAAAATCTATAATGCATTTCTGGGAATGAACAGACCAAATACCTGCTTGTGTTTGTCCGTTTGTCATCTTTTTCTTACAACACTTAAACAGTATATAGAGCAGAACAACAGCTACCAGAAACACAGGTGGCATGATCCAATAATCTGTGAAACAGAGCCAAACACAGCCAGAAATCAGACCCAGGACCCAGTTTAAATTAAATGGGACATGTGATTGTAGAAATCAGAGTAAAAATGAATTTTACGGTGTCTTTTCGTCTCCTTTATCCCACTTTCTGTCTGGTTCAGATCACCTGGTGTTGTCACATTGGTGTTCAGTCTGCTCACTTCAGGGGTGGGAACAGGGTCTGGAGGGGAAATGGAGGGAGAACAGAGATGGTTAGAGGCAGAGAGGCGAGAAAGACCAGAGCTCTAAAGCAGAGAGAGCTGCAGCAAACATGTCCTGATGCTGGACTCTGCAAACGTCTGAGGAAGAGCTGGGCTGAGGTTCCACACCGAGCTGCTTCCAGAACAGTCAGTGCACCAGCACACCCATCTGAGCAGCTTCAGAGGGAAAAGCCACAAAAGACACTCACCAAACACTCTGAGCCAATAAGAGAAGTTGAAAACAGAACCCATGTTAGACTCCAGTTTATAAACTCCTGAGTCGTTCCTCTGCAGGTCTGTGATTGTAAAGAGTCCATTCTTCCAGTGAACATTTTTGGCAATGGGGCCAAATGTTCCTTTAATCAATGAAGCTATGTGACTTCCATTGTGATAAAGAAACCCCTTATCCAGGATGGAGTCAGGCAGAGTGATGTTTCCTCCAACAACTCCGCTCAGCTCCTTCTGCTCTCCTGCAGCTGCAGAAAGGCCTGAAACAACAGAGAGCAGCGGTCAGCTTCAGCTGCCATCAGGAAAACACACACATCTCAGAACAGCTCTCCAGCAGATACAGACGATCAAGAAGTGAGGTCCTAAGATAAAAGATAACTCCTCTAAGACAGTTTTCAGCGATGATCCAACTTATCTTTGAGAACTAAAGAGCTGATGATATGATGCACTACACGGTTTGAAGGGAGGGGGCCACATTCCTGCAGTACATTCAGCAGATCAGCAGCCTCTGTCTGCAGCCTGCAGGAGCCTCGGCTGGACGTCCCACTCCTCCCACATCCCAGTCGGCCATTTTGATTAGGTCATGTGACTAGCAACTTTCTGAGGTGGAAACCAAACTTTACCGTCTATACGAAATCGAAAGACAATGTCTTAACCCTAACCCTGAGCCTAACCCTCCACCCTTCATAATTGTAAAAAATAACTATAATTTGGTTAAACTTGTTTGGACTTATTTTACAAACCTATTTAACATCCATTATTTTAACATAATATAATGGATAGAGTTCAATTCAGTGTTTGCTAAATGAATTTAACTATTTTTAAATGAATGTCTATATTGTCAAGAAGCAATTAGGATTGTCTTGCCTGGGATCTTCCTATTGGTGACCTAATCAAAATGGCCGCCTTGGATGTGGGGGAGTTGGATATCCATCCTTGTTCCTGCAGTCTGCAGACGGGCGGGGTTGGAGTTCTTTAGCGGGTGGGGCTCCCGCCTCCTACACATGGATACTGGGGGCGGACGCCCAGCTCTCCGCCTTTTCTGTTTTTTTTTTAAGGACTTGTCTGACGTTTTGTGAGGGCAGATGATCGGTATTATGAATGCACGCGCCACCGGCCCGGCCGGGCGCGGACCACAGGTGGGCGGGCTGACAGGTGAGGCTGCCTCCAGCCCCCCCCCCCTCCCTCCAGCCCCCCCTCTCCCTCCAATCACGCTCACGTAACCGTAAAGAGCCGAAGCGCGGAGCTTTCTGCCCTGTCTCCACCGATATTTCGAAGAAACCCTCTCCTTTGTTTTAATCCCATCTGTGTCATTTTAAGGGAAATCTGGAGTAAGGCTGTAACCGAACTAAACAGCTCTCAAAGCTGTAGTTTCCGGAGGCGTCTGTGAAGGCATCCCGCAGCTAAAAACGAGTTCTGACATACCTTCGTCTTTTTTAAACTTCTCTATTTACCAAAAAGTGTCACTCCAACCATCTCATTGATTCAGGTTGCTATTGCTCCAAAGAAATTAATCGACATGTCCCCGTCCTTTTTTCTCAGTTCTTAACGTTAAAACGTCTTCACTTCCGGGCAGCTCGCTCACTCTAACGGGTGACTTAACGGAGCTGCTGTACCTGTGGCCATGCTGTCCGAACATTTTGAAACGACTAAGTTCACAGATATGACCTGTACAGTGAAAAATAAGCGTTAAACAAAAAGACAAACAGCTCAGCTACAGTTTCAGATTTTGAAGTCTGAGAAGTCAATGAAAAATCACCTTAACGAACACGTAAACGCACCATCGCTTGGGACCCTCGGGGACCAACAAGACACGTTCATTCATTAAAAAACTAAGCATAGTAATCTACACTCAGAACACTTTCTAAACATAGTGTTATGTTTTTATATGTCCTATTTAAGCCACAGTCCCTGTAGTTGTTGTTTAAAAACCGGTTCCGAAAAACAGAAATGACAAAAGTTCACTTAATTGCTTTCGATCAGCGCAAAGAAATATGGACTTACCGAGACAGAGGAGAAAAACAGCTTTGAAGCTCATGGTGGAGTCAGTCGTAGTGTCTCAATGTGTCAGCAGCGGGAGAAGTAACTGAGTGTACTTCAGTGTGTAAGGCAACTGAGTGTACTGCTGTCACACAAGCAGCACACAGGTGTGTAACGGGGTGGAGTGGGTGTGTGATCGAACAGGTTAAGTGGCTTCTGTCTGCAGCCTCCAGTGACAGAAAATGTGTTTGAGCATTGTCCCAATGCTCAAACACAGAAACCCTCCCTGAAACACAGTAATTTTTTTTCACACATGCAAGTTTTTCCCTCCCTGTGTCTCCTAGTGCTGTTCTTGGTGGGAATTGTTGTTCTTCTGTAAATAACTCAGTCTGAGCTGCTCTGTTTGGAAAGCTGGGAGAAAACTGCTGTGATTTGGTCCTGTAGACATAACATTCAAATTAAACTGAGCTGAATCGGGTTCTGCTGTTTGACGCTGGCAGATACCTGGTTTATCAGGAAATTCAGAAGCTGATGGCAAGCTGCTGTTGGAGTGGTCCGACTTTGTGCAGTTGACTCGGAAACAGGATGCTCTGTGACTTGTCCTCCTTCAGTTCTTCTGGTTAGAAAGAGGAACAGAGGGGGTTTTGCTGACAGCTTTATTATGAGGCACTAGTTTGAGGCCCTCTCTATTTAAGAGGGAATAAAAACTTGAGGAATAAGCTGTAAAAGGGCTAAAACGTGCCAAGAGATGTAACAAATAAGACGTTTTAGTGCCAATATCGACCAACATTTTAATGTGGAGCTGTGAGGGAAACACTCGCCTCACACTGGTGGACCAGCTTGGAGCACATAAAGCTCCTTGTGTCGCTGTCCTGCTGCCTCCATCAGCCACACAACCCACACACACACCATTACTGTCATCACTACCTACTAAACTACTCACTTCTTTGTGGTCTCATTTCCATCACATTCATCCTTCTAGTTGTTCTTTTGCCCCCATTAAAGCTGCAGGTCGGATTGGATTGGTTGGCATCTTTCTTTAAATCTTATTGATAGATTTTTATCTATGAAAAAACAGATTTGTAGGGCCCATGGTGTGTTACCATAGCAGCAGGAAGGCTTTTAGCTGACAGTTAAGAGCTGGCTAACCGTTGGCTAATTGTTTGCTAATAGTGAGCTAAGTATTAATTAGGAGCTAACTTAATAATTGCGTTCTAACTGTTACTAACAACTTTTTGTTGACTTTCTGTTGTCTAACCGTTGCCATACTATTGTCTAACAGTTAGCTAACAGAGGACTGTCTGTTGGTTAAATGCTGGCTAACCGATAGCCTAGTGTTGGGTAAAGGTTAGACTGGACCCCCTCAGACTGGACCCCCTGAGAAGCCTGTGATTTTTCCCTTAATCTCAGAGGAGAGAATGCTGTGACACAGAAAACCAACTGCAAATAAGAAATGCTTATGCTAGCATGTCATATTTACGAGAAAATATCTCATACTTAATAAATAGTTTCACATAATTACCGGTTATTATGAACACAGATTACATGTTAAATTTCAATGTTTCAATATGTATATTACAGCAACAGTGTTACACGCATCAGTAATTGAAAACCCTCAGCATTAGAAAAGTACAGACGCTAGTTTTTGTGTTTCCTTATATCCTAAACATGGGGAGTAAACATTTATACCACTTTAAAAGTTACAGACGTTTTTTGTGCCTATTTGCTTCCCAGATATATCAGTGTGTGTGTGAGTGGATGAATAAGATGCATTAACCTAAAGGCGCTTTATGGAGTTAAGTCCGTTTTCTTCTATTAGTTTACGGACATTTCTGCTACTACATCCAAGATGGCAGACCCGCTGACGTATCCCGTCTACGTATATATGTGTCTATGCATAGACAAATATTCATATATACATACAACACGTATATATGTCTATGTATCAAACCATTCAATTATAGACAGAAAAACACCATTAACCATAATGCCTTGCACTTTATTACTGATTCTTTGTTGCATGGCAACGCACTAACAGACACTAAGACGTTAGCTAAAGTCAATGGTTGGGAGCCTGAAACCGTCCACAGTAAGTGTTACATTTATAGAACAGTTTGTGTCTGCTGCTACAAAAGCTGAACTCCTGAAACTGCCTTTTGTTCTCAGATAAAAAGCCTAAGCAGCTCATGATTTCGTGGAAATGTCGGAAGAAAGAGTAACCCAGTCAACTTCAACGGAAAGCAATGAAGGTATTTTAGGCACTTTATGATTTTTTTTTTCTTTTTCTCAAATGTTAAATTAACAATCGAGTATAACTTACCGAATTGTTTGATTAAATCAAGTTTGAATACAAGTGTTTCACCTTGACAGTAATTTTAAAAAAAAAGTCTTAATTCATAAGAAAGCACTAGAAGTTACTAGATTATAACCAGTACTACTTCAATAAGTGATCACAGCTTAACAAATTTGTTGGACAACAGAGTAAAAAAGACAAGGAAACATCTTTTTTTTGTTAGAAACCTTTTTTTTTATTTTCAAACTAGAACTATAACAGTTATTTGTTTGTTAAATAAATATGAATAATAAACTGAAACAACCATCCATTTTTTCTCAGAATAACCCTTAAACTTCATCTCTCTGCTCTCAGCTTCAATTCCTCCTCTGGTCGTTTTACTCTCCTCTCTGAGAGTTTCTGTGGTTATTTAGTCCCACAGAGTCTCCAGGTGTTCTTTCTCTGGGTTAAACTTGTGTGTGATGGGTCTGAGTCTCCTTTGGCCGGCTCCTCACCAGCTCCAGTCCTCCAGCTGCTGGTGGACGTCTGCAGGCCTCAGTAGCTTCTCTGCTCCCCTTAAGCTTCTCCCATCCGTCCTTCTGGAGACTCTAAAAACTCTGATCCTGAAGCGTTCGTGTCTGATCAGCAGTGCTCTTCCTGCTGTCTCTGCTCCTTCAGATCTGCTTCACTTAACTTTGGTTTTCTGCCTCTTTAATGGCACTCAGACACTCTTTCTCAGTGTTGTCTTTCCTTTTGTCTTTCCAGCATCGTGAAGGGCTTTAACCCAGACTCCAAAATTTGAAATGAGTTCTCAGTGTTTTACAATTTTCACCTAATCAGGTGTAACTGAAAATACCTCTGTTGTATGTACTTAGAAATATGATGATATGTTTTATACTTATTTTCCCCACTTTTATATATCTATTAAGGGTCATGAGTTTATAAAGTGTTAGTTAAATGTTTTTTTTTTCTTTTCATATTTATCTGCACTAGTCTAATTCCCAAATCAGTGAGGACTCAAAGCCACTCTGGAATATTTCCTACCTCTACAGAAAGCGTTGCTGAGGAGAAGCCGAAGAAGCCCCTCCCTGCTGACCTGTACTATGAATATGAGGAGCTTCACTCCAGACCGTCCGTCACAGCTGACTCCCACATCCCAGAGAACCTGCTGCACCTCTCGTATCCCTGTTTGTCCCGTTTAGACTTCCTACCTCATGCTTTCTCATTCTAAAGATACAAATGAAAAAACAAAACAAGTAATTCTATGTGAGATTATTGGGAAGTAATGACATATTCCAAAGGGGATCTTTTTCCCCGCTGATAAGGCTTTGAGGCTTAACGGCTGGATCCAGTCATTCCTTTGGCTACGACAGTGGCCGCAGGGCCAACCTGAAGCTGCTGGACGACACAACCCTGATGTTCATAGCTGGGAACCTGCTCGTGCTGCTGGACGTTTCCACCAGGGAGCAGCGGTATCTGCGCTCCTGCGGGGGGGGAGGAATCGGATCCATCACGGTGAGGGGGCCCGCACACAGAGAGTCATTCAGGGCTCACGCCTCACGCTGCACACAGCCGCCTGAACATGTCATTTAACAGGGGAAAACACTACCATATCCACTATTATGCTTCACAACCAAAAATACAACTGACCTGAACTGTGGGGCACATGATCAGAAAAATGGGCTGGGAGTTGGGATTATTTAAAACTCACACTCCACAGGCCTCAGTCAGTCTGATGTTAACATTCTAACTGAGAGAAAGCTGAAAAATCCCACATTGCCTCTGGAACATTGTCATTCGGGCAGAGCAGAACAGTGTTTGATGTTTGGTTGCAGCCCCTCAGAGAGGACACTCATTAGTTTCCTTCTAACTGCTTCTGAGGTGGCGTAGAAACCGCTTTCTTTTGAATAACAAGCTCTAGGACTGTACAGCAAAGGGACTTTCCACTGCCACGCTGTGTTTGACATACTGGGCTGATACTGAAGCAGCAGCATTCAGAATTTGTTGAATTATTATTTATTTACTGATTACTTTGGCCAGTAATGTGAAATTAACAATTTCCCACAACCAGAATCTGCTCTGATGCCAGCAAAAGTAGACATTTTTATTGTAAACACAAACACGTCACCCTTCCTGTCAGCTAGGCGGGGGGCCAATCAAAAAGTATTGCACAGTTTACTAAATTAAAATGCTTATATTTTATATCTGAATAATTGTTCCTTGTATCTTTGCCTGATTTGCAGGAACATTTAAAGTCTTTCTTTAGTGCAGTTTATGTGCAAAGTCTTTTCCTCATTTGTATTCAGTTTTTCTTAATAATGATACTTGAATTTACTGAGGTACTCCATATGAATACTAACCTATCTATGAAAATTAAACTATAAATCATCGTTACACAAAAGTACACGTGAAAACATTCCAGTTCATTGAGTCAGATTCAGAGCTCCCTTTCATTTGGCCACCAGATGTCGCTGTGCTCATGTGTCCCAAACACTCCAAAAGCCCGCTCCTTTTTCCCACAGCACTTGTTCCTGATCGTTTCCTCTCATGTTCCCCTTCTGTTCTGCACCCTTCCCCTGAGCTCTGTGTCCTCCGGTCCCTCCACGCAGAAGTTCCCCTCCTCTGCTTTTTGCTTCTTTGGTTTCTTTCATGTCAGATGACATCCTGGAAGATGAGCCAAAGCACAAACACACCACTCTCAGTTAAAAGGAAATTTGCAGAAAAGCGGTGTAACTTTTATTCTATATGTTGTTGTTAATCTTCGGTGTTGTTTACCTTATTTTAAACCAGATTGTGTTTTATTGCTTCTTGGCAGGTAAAGATTTGGAGCTGAAAGAGACTTTCTTCACTTCTTAGGAAGTTGACAGGAATTGAAAAACTCCCTGAAACTAAAAAAACAATTGGTTGTGCGTATAGAAAATAAGAATAAGCACATGTATTGTCATGTTTTTGTTTTTGTGTGTTTTTGTAAAGACACACCCGACCAAGAAGTACTTTGTTGTGGCAGAGAAGGGGAAGAACGCCAGCATCATAGTCTACGAGTACCCCTCTCTGAGACCCTACCGCGTCCTCAGAGGTAAATCCAGTTCCACCTTTTTTTGCAGCTACTGCTGACCTCCTCTGATGTTTCTGCTTTAATCCACGTGTCTGTAGGGGGCACAGAGTGGGGCTACGTCTCCGTGGACTTCAGCCGGGACGGGGACCTGCTGGCCAGCGTGGACAGTGCTCCCGACTACATGCTGAGTCTGTGGGACTGGAGGCAGGAGGAGCTGATGCAGAGCTGCAAGGCCGTCCCCCAGGAGGTCTTCCGGGTCAGCTTCTCCCCGTTTAACCCGGGACTCATCACTTCATCGGGATTCGGACACATCAGGTGGAGAACATTCCCAGAAAGCGCATTTTGTGGGGTATCGCTTAAAAGAAATGAAAACCATTTAGGTCTGTGGTAAAAGCGATACCTCAGAAGTCCTGTTCAGCAATTCAGACTCTCAGCTCTTTTACGGGTCATTCAAAAGAAAAGAATATATCAGATAGACAGTGAGAAGCAGTAGCTAAAGCAAAAGAGAGACGCTGTCCGAGACCGGCTGTCATAATGGATATGTAGGACTGAAACTGGCAGACTTCAAGATAATAACAGAAATACATTAATTGCCCAAAACCATAAATGTGCTAATTAATTTAAAATACTAGACATAATTGCATACATACCAGTGAACATCCATCTGGTCCCTCTAGTTTTATTTTTCTCTACTTTTTTTAATAGCTTTAAACCAAAACTAAATGTAGCTAACACAGGTTAGATTTAGTTTTGGAACAGGGGTAATACAAGTTGTCGATAGGTTCCTGTAAAGGTGGCTCTTCTTTCCTAGGGGCCCTTCCCCCTTGTTTCCCTGACATGTATTCACATTCTCCCTGAACATTTTTGGTGTTGGTGTCATTTGTTGTCTGATAAAATCTGACAGTCTGCTCTTTCTTCCTGTCAGGTTCTGGAAAATGGGCACCACGTTCACAGGCCTCAAACTCCAAGGGGTCATGGGTTATTTTGGAAACACTGTTGCAAGTGATATTGATGGCTACGTGGAACTTCCTGATGGAAAGGTTTGTATGTCACCCTTCTGAGCTGGGGTTGATTTCTAATGCCTGGAAAAAAAAGCAACACACAGAGTCCTGTTAAGGCTGATGAAGGCCTCCTGACATGACCATGACAGCCTTCCTCCTGCCCACCGTCCTTCATCCCATCTATTTAATTGGTAAGACAGGCAAAACATTTCTTCTGAAGGAAACTGTCTCAGAAAGACAGACTGCACCCAGCGCAGCATGACAGGGCTGGAACCATTTGGGACTGGAAATGTACAGCAGATGCTGTGATCTCTCCTCAAATCTAAGCTTTACATAATAATGATTCTAACCCTAAAATGTTGGAACACTTGAGAATGTGAATAAATGTAAATAAAATAGGCAAATATTTTATCATTAGGTCATTTCAGGCACAGAATGGGGAAATTTACTGCTTTGGGATGGAAATAGCGTCAAGGTTGAGATCACTCGTAAGGAAGGCCAGAAGTGCCACACCGGGACCGTACAGCCATTTACCCTCGAAGACGGACAGCTGATGACCTTTGGCTCTGATGGAGTTATCCGGGTAACATGGATTTTGATTATTTTTTCAAATATGGGGACATCAAACCAAATAAAACCATTTTTTTCCGTCTGACGTGACTGTAACCGTCCCTCCAGGGCTGGGACTTTGAGAGGATCAACACAGCCAGCACCGAAAGCAGCCGCTTTGAGCTGGAGCCCTTCAATGAGATGGTGGTGGGACACAATGTTTGCCTCTCCTTTGTTACCAGGAGCTCCACGCCCGACTCCTTCATCTGGTTTGCTCAGGTGAGACGGACAGAACGTCAGAGGGCTTTGGCTAGTGTCCACGCTCAGCACAATCCCGCTCATTCTGCCGTGTGTTTTCGTAGGATTCTAACGGAGCCATCTGGAAACTGGATCTCTCATTTACCAACACGGTGAGTGAGCTGCACATAGGCTGGATTGTCTGGAGCTGTGAGCTGTCGCTGAGCAGGAGAGGAGCACAGCAAGCTGAGGCTATTTGATCTAAGATATTCTTTAATCATATGACTCTTACTATATTTGAGATTGCTTGAGGGAAAGGACAAGTAGTTTAAGATAGGACAATATTACGCTTCCATCTTAAACTGAGAAACAATGTCTCTTTCGGTGTCCCCTGTCTGTGTGTGTAGGCCTCTGATCCAGAGTGCCTGTTTTCCTTCCACGCCGGGGCGATCCAGGGAATGGATGTGTCGAAGAAATCTCACCTGATGGCCACGACGGCGATGGGCCGTGAGTCCACACTGTCCTCCACCCCTCACCAAACGCACACACACACACATTCTAACAGATGCACCCATCTCTTCCAGACTCGGTCAAAGTGTTTGACTTCTTGGCAAAAAAGGAGCTAACAAGTAGCCGATTCAGCCAAGGTGGGACTGTTCTCCGCTGGGCCCCGCCTCTGGTTAGTGTAACCCCAGTGGTGGCTCGCACACGGCGTCCTGGTGAAACGCTGAGCTCAGCAGCTGTGATGTCTGCACTCAGGTGGACCAGAGCGGCCTACTGCTGACGGGCTTTGAGGACGGGGTGGTCCGCCTGCTGGAGCTCTACAACCCCCAGAAGCTGCATGTTGACACAGGGCGCAGCGTTGAAGCAGACGCCAAGCTGTGCCTCAAACAGGCCTTCAAACCTCACAACGCCCACGTGACTGCTTTGGAATTCGACCGAAATGGAGAAATCCTCGCCACTGGGGTAAGTGCTGCTCCACAAAAAAAAGGAATTAAAACACAGTTCGACAAAAGAAGGTTGAGATAGGTTTGTCCAAATGCTCCAGTCAGCTTGAAGACCCATGCTGCTTAGGGACTGACACTTTACTACTGCTCACCACTCATTTGTCTGCTTTATAAGAAATGACTGTAAACTATAAGTTATTCATACACAAATACCATAATTTTCACATAGACATTATATTAGTGGGATAGGTTTTTTTTTATAGGTATTTTTAGATAAAAGCCTTATGTACCAATCACTATATTGGATATTCATTCAAATAATTATAGTTTTAATTAATTATACCTATGTCCATGGAAAAAGGTCCATTTAAATTTCATTCTATCCAGCTCTTACAAACATTGTAGAAAGAACAAACACAACAAATGTGTAATCATCTTTATTTTCTTTCTCACTATTTAGAGCGCAGACAGCACAGTGTTTTTCTTCACGGCTGGGGAAAAGTACGACCCCATCGGTTTCATCCATGTTCCTGGGCCAGTACAAGCGCTGGAGTGGTCACCCAATTCCCATGTGGGTTACAGAGAAGCCCAGAACTACAGCAGTAGAGGAGTAATGGAGTAATGGCCTGAACCATTCTTTGTTTGTTATGTGATTCACCCAGACTGAAAACAGGCTGCTGGTCCTGTGTCGGACCGGACATGTAATGGAGGTGGCATGTCCTGATCCGGAGGCTCAGAAACAGGCCAAAACCTTCCAGCTACCGGAACTGCCCAGCAGAACCTTCCGCTTCAGGAGCATCAAATCTCGGATCAGGGTCTGAAAACGTTCTTTCTCAGCTTTAACTTGGCTATAAGTCGGGGTTTCATTATACTATGATAAATGTCACAGTTGCCATGGGAAAAGGGATCCAGGGTCAGAACTCAGAATGAATAATTATTCTAAGAGAACAAAAATGGGGATACAAAACCTACACTGAGAATAAAAAATACAATTTAAGGAAGAAGCAAGGAGACTGGAATACACATGGATACATACAGAAGCTGATGAAGAATTAATAGAAATGGATTAATAGAAATGGATATGGATATATATATATAGGAAAAAAGTGATCCATGGCATGAAGAGCTGGTGAAACAGGTGCAGGGGTAGATGAGAACCAGAGATCACTCAAGGAAGTGAAGGTGGCAGAAACATAGACACAAGAAACTAAAGACAACCAAAATAAAAACACATGGAGTAGGGAACATAAAACTAAATACACACAACTAAATAAACAAAATCACAAGGAAATCAATAAGCAGAACATTAAGGCAAAACTGAGGATAACTGAAACTAAGAAGAACATGTCTACAAATTAAAGTACAAGACTAAAACTCTAACCAAAACATAGGGAGAACTCAATCAGGCATTAAGAAGATAGCAAAAAGGGAACTCTAAACCAGGAACATGAAAACATCAAAAACACACACATGCCAAAGAAATATAGAAATAACCATGAACAAGAAACTAGTTCAACAAATAAGGCTCAAAAACCAAAACAATAGCCATGCTTGGGACAGTAAAATCTGGATGTTTTTATCTTTTAGAGAGATGAGGAAATTGCGAGACGTCAGGCTATCAAGGACAAAAAAAAAGAAGAACGGAAGAAGAAGGAGGAGGAGGAGCAGGAGGAGGAGGAGGAGGAGGAGGAAGAAGAATTGCCACCTATCTACATCCCAGATCCTCCGAGTCCTCTGTGCTGTGGCTTCTACTCCCAGCCGGGCCAGTTCTGGCTCTCCATGGTACACACACAGCCCCATCCCACAGGCTTGGGGTCCTGCCGTAGCATCCGACAGTCAGCCAGGATGCACGGGATGACCCCAAAATGACCGCTCACAAATTCAACTGCAGCACAGAAGAAACGTTTTGGCCTTTTCCAAAGACATTGTAGAGGGCAGAACATCACTGGAGGCTGAAGATAGCCACAGCAACCTTTAGAAGAAGTCATGGGGTTGACTTTTTCCCTAACAGGCTAAGTGTTTGTCATTTCTCTCATGCAGGGAGGGTTCGACTCGGGTTTCTTGTACCACTGTAAGTTCTCTGAGGATCAGGATAAGGATCCCAAGCAGCGGCAAGATGAACCTTTTGACTTCCTGTGTATAACTGATGCAGATGAGGACCCTATTTACACCATGACTTTCAGGTATTCGGGAAAAGCTTCAAAACTATATTATCATTCATTATTTTCAGTATGTAGATTTGCTTTTTACAACGGTTCATTTTAAAGTAGATGTTTACGAGCTTTAGTGTTGATCACCGAGACGTAAAGGTGGTGAATAAGATGTTAGGAATACTCAGTAGTCATCCATTATCTATATAACTTATTCCTATGAGGTCAACTGAAGAGCTGAAATTGGGAAAGAGGCGGGTACACCCTGGACAGATTGCCCGTCCGTCACAGGACCACGCAGAGACAAACAGCCACACACTCTCACATTGGGGGGAATTTACCCCGAGCACTTACATTTTCCTCTGGGTCGTACAGTGTGGTCAGAAAAACAGCTCAGAGTTTCTGAAATCAAGTCAAATGTTGTTCCTCAGAGCTCGTGAGAGATCTGGCTGTGGCCTGCCTCTCGCCCAATAAAAGCTGGGACAGGCCTCAGCCCCCCCCACAACCCTGACCCGGACCCAAAAAATATAGACTATAGAAAATGGATGGATGGAAGGATAGTGGAAGTAAAGCAACATTTGTGAAGTCAACACCAGCAAAAACTCCTTTAACAAACTAAAAGTCATCCTGGGCCAACGATGGCATTTATTTATTGAAACAGAAAAAGTTCTGCTTCGCGTGTCTGTGAATGGTGGATCTGTTTCAGACGGCATTTAAAGTCTGCTTCCTGGTGTTCTGTAGCTCCGACCGGCAGCTGCTGCTCTGTGGCATGCACTCGGGGGCCATCAGAGTGTACACCCTGCAGCCCGGGGACCAGAGCCTGGCCTCCATGCAGGCCTTCTGGGCCCTCAGCGTCCACGACAACCACTACGGACACCTGCGACACGTCCGCTGCAGCTACGACGACCTCTTTGTGCTGACCGCAGGGGACGATGGGAACATCTTCTCCTTCTGCCTGCTTCCTCCAGAGGAGTTACAGAAAAGCCTGCAGAGAAAGAGGGCCAAGATTCCCTCTCCTAGGGTCAGTCCACATTCTCTCCACACGTATTTGTGATGCCCACTTGGGATATTAGTGAGGAAAATTAATACTTGTTATGTAGATAATCTGAATCAGGCCGGACTAACATTTTTTTATAAAAATGATGGAAATATAATAGCAGCTTGTGAACGTCACATTCAGGTTGGCCTACAGAGTGATGCTTTGGCTCTGGACATTGAGGACCCATCAGCCTACAGGTGAGTCTACCAAAGCTAGAGTTTTGTTTTCACTCTGAGCTCCTGAAATACAAATACAACAACTCTTAAACTACCTCACCCTTGACTCGTCCCAGCTTGGAGACGGCAAAGCAGAAGCTGGAAAATGACCAGCTGCGTCGGGAGGCGGAGCTCAAAGTAGCAGAGACCCAGAAGCAGCTCGCCGAGCTCCAGAAAAAGTTTAAACAAGTGCTGAACAACAACCAAAGTCTCCCTGAGCATGTCCGGCTCAAGCCTGAGGTACGGGTTCTCTGCTGATGTCTGGGGGACGGGGCAGGTGGGCAGGGCTCACAGGTCCCGGGGGGGTCAGGGGGCTTTTGTGTGTTACTATGCTCATTTACCCAGACAAATTCTTCTTTTAGCTTCTTTACAGAGGCTGTTCAGTTCTGAGGCGCTTGTTGTATGTCTACCTGTGACGCGGCCGCCTGTGGTTTTTCTAGCTCTGTTTTCTCATATTCCCTCTGTCTGCTTGCAGGCAAATCCATATCCACAGATATAGCAGCTGGTTGTGTGTTTTTTGTTTTTTTTTCCCTTTTTCCTTCAGCCTTTCTAAAAGGTTCTTTCTCCTTTTCTGGGTGGTTTTGTTTTCTATGCTCTTTCTCTTTGGTTTGGCATTACTCACTATGTGTAAAGTATTGCACCAAAGATCATTTAAAAAAGCTGTATTAGATAATCCCCAATATGTGTTAAGCATAGCACACAAATAAGATTTCAATTCTGCTACTATAAATCTGAACAGGACAAGGGAAAAAAAAGGGATGAGTTATTGCCATTTCACCTTGGCCAGTTGTGTGGGGCTTGTGTTCCTGTTAGGAGCTGCAGCTGGACCGTCGTTTCTATGAACACACAGAGAGGCTGAAGGCCCAGAAGGTGATGGAGGTCAGACGACAGATGGCCTGGGAGCAGGAGCGCTGCAACATCGCGCTCAGAAAACTTCAGGAACGGTACACAAACACAGTCTGAATGAAATGTTTCCATTGCCCAGAAAGGAACAGAGAACATACCACCAAAGGTTTTACAGCTACTTTCACAGTCAAAAGTGAAAGTCTTAAATGAGAAAAACCTTGTTTGGTCCAGTAAGACAAAATAACCCAATGACACACAGCATGGAACACTAAAGTACACGCATGTAAATGTCACAGTTCTTTGGAGAAAGAACTCATTACAGGAGGAAAGTAGCCTTTAATCTGGAATGACACCCACTGTACACACAATCAGGTTTATTTATATCAAACATTTAAATTGGAGAATGTCAGCAATTGTGTTCCACCATCGTTTTCACACCAATCATCAGAACAGTTTCCATTTAAATAGTTATCTTTTTGAAAAAGCCACCTCCCTGAAGGTACTGCGTGTAATGTGTTGTGAAAACTGATTATTCAAGTAGAGTCAACAGCCTTAACATTTTTTGGTATAAGTCCCACTCTTTTTCAGTATGATTCAGCTACAAATAAGTACGTGAGGTCAATTAAAAAAAAATCAGCCAGACCTGCTCATTTTATTTTCAGGTTCAAGGACTCAATGGAGACCGACCTCGTCACTGTGGTGGCCATCCACACCAACCACAGAGTGTCCATGTACCGCCTGCTGACGGCTGCCAAACCTCTGGCCGGGCCCCAGAGCACCGCCAGCCAACCGGACCGAGACACAGAGGCTGCCATCGAGCGCAGGAAGTCCAGAGCCGAGGCTGGAAAAGACATCCACCAAATCGAGGGTAAGAAACCGTCTGTGTCCTTATGTCAGCTATCAGATGCTTGTTGAGCTTCACTGACAGCCGTGTGTGTTGTCCAGAGGACGAGGTTCTGTGTCCTCCGGTGCCTCAACCAGCAAAGGTCAAGTTAGGAGATAGGCAGGAGGAGAGGCTCAAAAAGGCCTCGGAGAAAGCCGAGCAAGCTCGAGCCAAAATAGAGAAAAGGAAGCAGGAATGGGCCCAAATGTAAGTGGGCCCAGATCTGATTCTAGTTCTTGAAAATCTGCCTAAATTTCCAAAGTAAATGCATTGTTTTCTGGAGTTAAATTCTAACTGTTTGGGTAGCTAGTAAGAAAGTGGAATCTTGGGTTGTCAGTTATGCAGAGAAGCCAGATGAGGACTATGAGGATCCGGAGGATGTTCGGGCCATCCAAGAGGCCAAAGACAACGTGGGAGACGTCATCCGAGCGAAAAACATCAGAGTGAACGCTGAGGGGAAGAGACAGGAGCTGATTGCCCTGGAAGAGAAAGTACAAACTTTTATTACAGACATACACAACATGATCTTTTTGTTCTCCAGTTTTGAACCAAAGGTGAAATAAGAACTATTCCCCTTGGTCACCTAACTTACTACACGGGTTTTTAAAAATGATTTTTGTATAGTTAGAACTCTACTAAGGAAGTAGATGTGATCACGAGTTAGAAGCTGACTAAGAAGGTTCCATTTCACATATTTTTACTGACTCAAATTTTTCAGGAACCCCAAATCCCACGCTGAAACGGTTTATTATTGATATTACGGCAAAAAAGTTAAAGACCTGCATAATCATTTCATTAATATCAAATTTGAAATAAACCCAATCCTGCAAAAACGTCAAACTCATTTTTGTATTTTGAATATTTCTGTGAAATGTCGCATTTTAAAAAGCAAAAAGAAGACATACAATAAACAATTACCATAAATTGCAAAAAAAGGCACTGTAGCTAATTTATTGCTACCACTCTCACGAGGTGCGGGAAAGGCAGACTGAGATGAACCGACGGATTGTGGAGCTGCGCGACGCAAAGCTGTGCCTGGTGTCCTGGCTGGGAGCTCAGGCCGAGCGGCTGAGCAGGGTCCAGCAGCACCTACCCCCCCATCTCCACCGGCCACTGCCCTCCCTGCCCGTTATTTCACTGGTAGAAACCCCAGAGAAGAGACTGCAGTGCAGCGCTGCCACTCTGGAGAAATACCGATTGCTGAGAGAGAAGAGGTGAGGAATTTATGGGCTTTTCGGTTTTTGTAGAAAGCTGAATTATTTCAGCAAAATGCTTTAATTATCCATCCATCCATCCATTATCATTACCGCTTGTTCCCTAATGGGGTCGCGGGGTGGTTTAATTATATAATATATCATTGTTTCTATTCTATTCTATTTTGCATAGTTATTGATGTCATATTTTGAAATGATTATATGGTATATATTTTCCTGTTCACACAGGTTGGGAAAGAAAGTGGGGCAGGGGGAGCGGGAAGGAGGCCTGAGCTTATTAGAGCAGCTGGAGAAGGAGGAGATGAAAGAGAGTGAGAGAAGAGATGAAGAGAAGCCTGGTCCTCTTACATTTGCAAACATAGAAGAAGAAAAAGAAGAAGAAGAATCAGAAGAGGGGACGGCGGTGAAAGAAGGAGCAGAGCTGAGTGATCTGGTGGAGGAGCTGCAGAGGGAGGCAGAGATCAGCTTCCTGCATGAGCAGAGCTGCCTGCTGGAGCAGGTCACCCCCCCCCCCCCCCCCCTTACCCCACCCCTCTATGGCCACCAGCGGAGGGGGACTCACCCTGCTGTGTTTTGCCTTCAGATGGAGGACGCCACGCGGCGGTTCGACGCGGAGCTCCTGAAGCTGCGCCGGCAGAGGGTCAGTCTGGACTGCCAGCTGAAGCTGGCCGACCTGCGGCTGCTGACCCTCTCCCAGGAGATGCTGCTGCTCAAGCAGTTCGAGAAGAAGGAGGGCGTCCTGCAGGAGAAGCTCAACGAATGCGTTCAGGAGGAGAAGAGCATCATGGTAAAAAAGAAATGTATTCCTCACATTATTGAGAGGAACTTAAATGGCTTCCAAAACCAGGCGGTTGTAGCACATAAAGAAAAAGCTGCTGCCCGCCACATGTCCTTCCCACTTATATAGGTAGAGTGAATTCAGGTTAGTTTTAAGAGGAGACATATATGGAACATGGATGTCATAAGCGTAATTCTTAAAAGTGGGGAGCAGGGATCATTCTACCATTCAGCTGGATGACTCGGTGGCATCATTTCAGACTGAGACAGCGTGGCTGCTTTGTGCCTGTCTCCTCACAGTCAAAACTGGAGGAGTGTAATGAGGAGCTGGAGGTGAGGAAAAGAGACATAGCTAAGCTGCAGGAGAGAGACAAGGCCTTGACGGCCGCCTTCCAGGCCTCGCTGGGGGAAAACCATCCCTTTGAGGAATATCTCACCAAAGTCTTCAAGAAGAAGGTCGTACGAGTGAAGAAAAAGGAGCAGGGAGGAGGTGACGGTGAGGAAAAGTCCTGCCCAGTCTTTTTATTTTTAATCTTTGGGCCCTTTTTTAACATGTTTTGACCATTTGCAGAGGAAGCGAAGGACAGTGATGAGGACTCTGAGGAGGACAGTGATTGGGACGATGACTTTGACAGCGAGACGGAGGCAGAGGGAGCAGCTCTGGATGACAGCATCTGCCCCCCCGGTCAGCTCTCTTCTTTTCCTGCTCCTCCACACAAAAAGATGGAAACTTCAATGACTAGCTTAATACAGGGCAGCTTTTTGAGCTGCGTCTTATGTAATCCTTTAAATAAAACAACATTTTTAGCTCAAATAATGAATAAATAAGACTACTGTGGGCGCTCATGTTTAGCTTTTGAAATATTCATTTAGCCTGACAAAGGGAGGCGGATAACTTAAAACCCGACAGGATTTGGATTAGTGAGGCGCTAGCTGTGGCGTGTGACTGGGTGTGTGCTCCCCAGGCTGTGCCCGGGCGCTGTTTGAGAACAGCCTGCAGCTGCGGGAGCGCCGGCTGGACCTGGAGGAGCTGCTGGTGGAGGAGAGGAGGAGCAGCGACGCCCTGAAGAAGGAGAGCGAGACCCTCATGAAGAAGGTCCGAACCGGAGTTACATCTCTGATGTTTATCAGATTACCCGTTTCTGTGCTTTACTGTGTGTGTGTGTGTGTGTGTGTGTGTGTTTGCAGTGGAAGGTGGTGAAGAGCAGTCGTCAAGTGGTGGAAAATCAGTTGGAGTTACTCGACAAGGAGAAACTGAAGAAAATAAACGAACTGAACATTGTTGTTCCTTTCCGACTGCACCAGGTAGGAAAACTGAAGGTTTGAGGTCAACAAAAGAACGCAGATCAAACACTGAGCCGTGTCCATTTTTACAGGTTAGCGCTGCAACATCCTTTCCCTCCAAAGCACTTGTGTAAAAGCCAGCTTTTTTAAAAAGGAGCAGTTGTAGAGCACTCTTCCAAATAATTTTTACAGTATGGTCCAGGACAGTAGACATTCTCAAAGGAGGAATCTGAAGCTTGTTACATGGATGTAACATTTATGCTAATGTGTTGGAAACAAGTTGGCTTGAAGGTAGAAAAACTCTGATCAGAACCAGAGTGAAAGAAACTCAGAGGTCTATTTTTCCATATATTACTAAGATAAGAGTAAAATATTTGCTAATGTGTTGAAACCAATTCAGTAAAAAGGTTAACACTATTTAATACCTGGTCAAAACAGATTGGGTCAATTTGAACTCAGGGGACAAAAGTGCCGTAAATAGGAATACGACTATTTTTTTCTTCCAATCACGATCACCTGTGAATCAGGAATCACCTGACTGGACCTGCAAATGTGTTTTATCCTCATTCTTGTGATATATCTTTATTTTTTCCTCAAGCCCAGCAGCATCTGCCCTTATGGAAACCGCCGACCATAGGCTCTCACCTGGCTTTGTTCCTCCGCAGATTAAGTATGTGACTGAGGGCTGCGTGCCGGCGGACCTGAGCGAGGCGCTGGTCCAGGACCGGTCAGAGATGCACCGGCTGCAGCGCCGCATCCTCCAGCTGGACGGAGAGAAGCTGTTTCAGAAGGACCGCTGCCGTCAGACCAGCCTGCAGCACGTCCGGCTCCGCCACGAGCTCAAGGACCTGGCTGCCCGCATCCAAGGTAGGAGGGCCGGAGCCTCCTGCTGCACCAGAACCACGCAGCAAACGGGGACAGAAACGCTCCCTGGTTGGAGAGTCTCAGGACTGAGTGTGTGTTTTTGTGTGTGTTTGTGTGTCCCCGCAGTGCTGGAGGCCCAGTGCAACGAGCTGATGATGATAAAGTTCGGGCGGCTGGTGGATCTGGAGGCCCTGCAGATGGTGTCTGGGAACAGGCGGCTGGAGGAGCTGAAGTGGGAGAAGCTCCTCAAAGAGGCCGCGCACGCCAAGGAGATCAAACACTGGGATGTGTGTGTTCCTCAGAGCTCAGCATCAGGAGCAGAGCGGACGCCTGACGCCGGTCTGACGGCTCCACCTCTGGCTGTGTGTGTTTTTGAAATCCAGGCAAAGGTGGAGGAGGCTAACGGGGCTCTGATGGAGGTGACCAGGTGCAACACGGAGCACCTCCGCATGACCACCCGCCTCCTGGAGCAGAAGAAGGAGCTGGAGTTTAAGCTCAGTGCCAGGCAGAGCAAAATGGTAAAGTCTGAGCAGTAACTTCAGATCAAGTCTGAATAAAGCAGATGTGTTTCCTCCCCTCAGATCCTCCCTCAGCGCTCAGCGTCTTACTTGTTTCTTCTTCACATCAGAGTTCATATTCTTTAACCTAAGACCAGACAATAAGCACAGTCAGATGGTTTGGCAGGAACATACTAAGACACACAGAAAGACATGTGTTTTATGTGGTTTTTTATACTCAAACATCCAGAGGAATAAAAGTTAAAAATCCCATTAGGAATTGTTTGGTTAATTTTTCTTTGGAGAATACTGGTTATGACAAAAGCATTTTAACGTCTGAAACATTTAAAGGCTGGTTTTTAATGCTTACTGTTGCATAGCGTCAGCTTTAACCTCCGAGGCCTGAAAAACATTTCAGTGCTGTGAGAAGCTGGCACAGCTTTTGTGGAGACGAGTCGTAGAAGTTTCTTCACACATTTGCTCTGGTTGCCATGTGAAACTAACGACTTTTAGGACAGATTTTTAAAAAGTCCACCTTTTGGCCTCCCTATTTTCTCATAGCACGTAAAAGCTCAGCAGAGCTGGGCGGTACTGAAAGATTAATGTCCGTCCAGTCCCACTGTCATTTAAGGTGGATTTTAAAGCTTTTGTCTTGAAAAAAATTCATAGTAACCTATTTTTTCAACCTACCAAATAATTAATACTTGCGCTTTGTGTTGATTGACTTCTTTTTGCATTTATTTTCATCCTTATTTGTCCTAATGACAGCAAAATAGAGAACAAAGAATAAAAGGAGTTCACTCTAGTTATGGCCACAAAGACAGAAGTGTTTGCATTAAACTATGTGCTACAAACATGGTAAACATATAGCACTGCAGAAAAGTCCTCCTTAAACTGCAGTGCTCCTTTTTAACCAAACCTGAGATAACTTGTTTTGAGGAGTGACAAGAGACAGCCTCCTATTTCTAAAAAGAGAACATATCTGCACAACGTTTGCTCATCAGGACTTGGCAAAGCCCCCGGGAGCCAAAATGGAGAGTTTAGTGTCCCATAGCTGTATGTGTCTGTATAAGCCGTTTTTAATGTTACATGTTTTTATTTTTCACTGCAGCTCCCAAGAAGCCAAAAGTCTTAAACAGAAAGCCAGGACTGGATTCATGATAGAAAACAACACGTTTTGCCTGGGCTTAAGTTGCATTTTGCATTGTTGATCCAACCGTTTACTGTTCAGCTGTACTACCACTGTATCTCCATCCATGTGTAGGGCAGGCAACAGTTCCAGGACCACAAGAGACATGTGGACCAGGAGGCCATTCTAAAGCTGCAAGAGCTGGTGAAGAGACAGTCCCGGCAGATTGAAACCCTCAATAAAGAGATCCAACTCCTGTCCTCCAAAGGAGGCCACATTCTGCCCCCGGACCACACCAGACTGCCCCCCATTTCCCCCCTGCCAAGCCCAATGGGCGATATGCACACTGGAAAGCAAAGACCGTTCCAGGGCCCAAAGCTTACCTCTTAGACGACTGATTCTGGTCCGAGGCAAAAACAGGATGATGGTCAGACCCACTGCTGGATCCATGTTATCTCAGCAGGGCCTTCCTCCCAGTTCTGCGTGGACTGATTGTGGAAAATGCATCAACAGTTGCTCTGCCAGGTGTTAGTGTTCTGTACCTTAGATGGAACAAGGTGTATACATAGACTAAATGAGAAATGATGATTATTATTATCTCCCTAAATAAAGGTTTTTTAATACCAGAATTACTGACTTCATCAATTAAATGGTTGAAGAAGTTCTCCTTAACTTGGGGCTTACAAGGATATAAACGCCCCCCTCGATTTGTCTAACATGCTGGAATTCTTTTTTTTTTTCTTCCAAACTAGCTCAATTTGACTGAATGTAAAGCTTGAAAACTATTGTGAAATGACCTCTTACTGCTCTGGCTTTGCAGAGAACCACCACCGGTGTAAATAAAAAGCTAGCTCCTTCAAAGTCAGTAAAAACTAGTGGTAAATCTACAAATGTTGAGTTATTTTCCTTCTGAGGACCACATTTACATGGTTCATGGGTCCTAATGTTTGTCCTCACGGTGCTATTGGATAGAAAAGGTGTTCATAGGGCTGATGGAGACCTCTAAATGCAAACATTAGACAAAAGGGTACAGTCTTTATCTATTCTTAATAAATAAAGACTGCCCTTCAGGGCTATGGGAGGTAGATACAGTACAGCTCCATACTTCCAACACTGTTTCTCCTGGCCCTCCATCCTCACTCAAAATGATTCAGACTGGTGTCCCATTGATCAAGAATAATTACAGTCTAAGGAGCATATCTATACCAGCCCAACAGAAGAGATTTTGGGAATGGTATAAGAATACCATGACATGTAAAAATGTCTTGTAAGTAACACTGAGATGCACCAGTGCAGTAAAGTGAAGGAAACTGTGGGATCCCAGTGACACCTGCTGGAAAAACAGAGACAGGACAAAGCCTCACAAACCAAACGATGAGGCAGCCTGATGGGGCACACCACAGACAGGGGGACCTCAGATTTAAAGGGTTCTGAGGCCATTCAGACCACTGATCTGCTCCCCTCGGTTCCCAGCAGTCACCGGTCAGCGTATCTGTTGTTGTCAACCAAACAGTGATGCATCTCCTCATGCTGTAAAGTTAGTTTGAAATTAACTCAAATCAATCAACTTTTTATTTGAATGGCACAACAGGTACATGGCAAACATTCCCAAAAGAGTTAGCAGAAAATAACCTTATTATCCCCTGAATTCCACCTATAGAGGCAGGACACCTCAGAAGTCCCGAAAATACTCAACAAAGATTGTGGCCCGTAGAAAATAATATTTCTTTTTACAACAAGTGAGAAGGAACAGATCTGTGAGCAGAACCTCTGTGGTTACAGTGTTTTTGGGAGCTCCTGGAGCCCTCCGGGCCCCAGCGGCCGGAGGCTCCGGGCCCTGGGCCGGCTCACGGGGCCCCGGCTCACGGGGCCGCCAGCTCCCGCAGCAGCCTCTCCTTCTCCCGCTGCAGCCCCGCGATGCTCTGCCGGTTCTGCTCCAGCCGGTCCTCCAGCCACTGCAGCAGCGGCCCGCTCACCGCCGACATCTGGCTGCACAGGTTCTTGGTGAACACCGAGCCGTTGTGGATCTTGGTCACGGGGTCCAGGTGCGCCAGGTTGTGGATCTTCCGGTACGTGTCCTGCTCCTCCTGGCACAGGATCCGCGGCAGCTCCACGGCCGACTCCAGGCACACCTTCCCGATGGCCTCCCGGGGCACGACGTGGATGGGGATCTCCACCCGCTCGTACTCGGAGCCCTTCTGGGCCTGGACGGACTGGAAACAGGTGTACAGAACCCGGCCCGTCTTGGTGTTCTTGTCCTCGATGAAGCAGGAGAAGATGAGGCCCACGAAGCACTGGTCCAGCATCTGGTACATGGCCTGCGTCCGGACGTCGACGTGGGAGGGCCACACGGTGATGTGCGGGTGGGAGTGGTACCAGCCCACCACCCGCATCGGCTTCCCGCTGATGTCGGCCAGCCGCTCCGCCTCCGTGGAGGCCGCCGACAGCTGCTCCGGGGAGATCTCCACCCGGTCCTTCCGCTTGTCCGAGCGCCGGAGGATGATGACGGAGTGGATGTGGACGATGCGGCTGGGCTCCACCTCCCCGATGCACAGCCCCATCACCTCCTCCTTCTCGGTGCTCAGCGCGTGGTTCATGCACACCAGGAAGGCGTCGGACTCCAGGTGGACCGCACTCACGGCCATTTTTCCGGTCAGGTTAGCTTCTGACGGCGTCCAGCCGAAAACATAAACAGCGCTGAAGGAAGTGCCTAACTTCCTTCAGCGCTTCCTTCCGGTTCCGCACCAACCCCTACCGTGTTGAAACACTCACTATATGGTTCCGCTTTTATTTTTTCAAACGTTCGGGCCTCAACTCTATTGACATGAAACACAGACAATTAGTTTTGTGAGTTTCTTTCCCCAAATGTTTAGGATACTTCAGTAAAATAAGAAATTCATAAATAATAGCGTTGAATTGGAACGTTACAATGAATTTGCTGTAGTGGTAAAGTCCGTTTATATACCAGATAAAATAAATGCTTTGAATATTTTCCCATTTTGTCTCCCCAAAGGAAAATACAATACTTCTGAAAACTGGACAGTGACATGTCCTTAAATATGTTTCTTTTTACCTGAATTTACAGACTTCTCTGTACACTCACAATCAATGTAGTTAAAGGTTTTACAATGTTTGATTAAGTTTGATTGGCTGTAAATATTGTAAGACTTATTCAGTGGTCCGTCTTCTGACTGTCACTGGCCGCTGTGAGGGAGAATTTCTTCAAATTTAGCAGAGAATGCCTTTTGACTTCCCACTGACCAACGGCAAAACTGTCGCCCCGTGCTCAACTAAACAGCAGGAGGTAAATGGTCAGACTGGTTAGGACATGACAGCTATTCTAGTTTACTAAGAGAAATGGTTGTGGTTGTCTGTAGTTGCTTCAAACCTTTCATCCTGTCATAGCTTCTCCAGGAGCTCCGTGACTTTTCTGCCACGATTTAATCTGCTGCTTCCAATCACAGCTCAACGATCTGACTGGTCGTCAGAGATAGCCTCAGCATCGGGCTGCTACACCTCCATGTTTGTCACGTCCCTTTTTTAAACTCCAGCCGAGACTGTACCGGAGCGTTAATGGGTGGTTTAGAGAATGTAGATGCTGTTCTAATCACAGGGGCAGAAAATATTCTGTGCTTTACCACAATGAGAGCAGATTATTTATTATCTCGTGTATTCCCAAAAAGATGTGCTCCACACACGACTTTTCAGCTTTCTTCCAGTTCTGACATGCCATCTCTGACTTGTTCTGACCAGCTTGAGCAACATGATGCCGTCTTCTTCATTTTTCTCCTCAAGCGGCTTAACTCTGACTAAATCTTTTAGACTATCACACAGCTCACAGGTCAGAAAGACCTGAATGAACTTAAAAAACGTTTGTATCTTAAGGGGTGAAAAGTCCACTCGCCTTTGTTCAAACTATTAGAAAGACAAACTTTTAGAAAAACCCAAACTTTCTATATCTTTTCTCTCTCCTCTACACTGAATAGATTTGTTGGAATGGAAAAGCTGCCCTAGTATCAATTTGCGAGTAGATTGGTGGGTGCCGCCGGGCCTACATGGAGATCAGGACTCTTTGCATATTAAAACTAACCCTGTCAGAGTGATGCATTCAGGGGGCATGTTCAGCCAGTCCTCTCAACACTTTATCTGCTTGGAGCAGCTTTGTTCTGTGACTCAGCTCAATTACTGAAATGGGTTTGGGCGCTGCTGCATTCTTTTGTATGGAAGCAGTGTTTCATGTTTTACGAATTAAGAAAAAAGCCTGCATAGAACCTTTCTTTGCAGGAAACAGGGGGTTGTTTAACTGCACTGTAGAGTGTGAGCTGGCTGACCGTTTTTATGTAAATCTGTATCACAGTACGAAAGATAACAGATGCTTCTGGGAATACATTTAACCACGTATGGACCTACCTGTAAAGGTGTTCCACCTCTAATTGCTTTCAGGGGGAATAATTTTGTCAGAACTGGTAACTCAAGGCAGGACTGATGCAGAGATCGTAATAAAAAAACTTTAATAGAAATAAAGACGCACCCGCTGGGATTGGAAGGCAAGGCCAAAAGTACTACTTAATAATCATTCGATGATGAGGATAGACAAACTAGGATGGTAACAAATAAGGACCACTCGAGTCGAGGCAGGCAAAGCTATGAACAAAATAACAAATGATAATCTCTCTAACGAGGCAACTCACTACTACCTCTGCTTCATTTTCTTTCTTTAAATCAGTGCAGAAGTGGACACATTCAAACACAAGAAACTTGCCACCACTTTGCCACAGGGGTCACCCAAGGTTCAGTACTGGGATCTCTTCTTTTTGCCCAATGCACCTCTTCATAGGGCCACACATCCAGTCACATGGCTCATGCTACCACTGTGCTGACGACGCCCAGCTCTGGCTGTCATCTCCACTTGATGACCACATGGTCTCAGCACCTTTCCCAGGTAGTCTCTGTAACATATCAAAATGGATGAAAGCCCATCACCTCCAACTGAATCCGTCTAAAACTGAACTGCTCTTCTAACCAACCACAAACCACAGAATTCACATCCAAACTGAATCTCTGTCTCTGCTCCTTCAGAGGCAGCTGGAAACTGTGGCTGTCATGACTGATGACCAGCTGACCTTTAAAGATCATGTTTCCTTCATAGCTTGATCATTTTCCTTCGCATTCTTAAAGATAAGAAATGTCAGCCCTCGCCAAACCCGACATGCCGCCCAGCTCCGGGCGCACGCTGTGGTTATTTCCTGCCTTCACCACGACAACGCTCTCCTGATTGGCCTCCCAGCCTGGACTATACAACCTCAACAAATGAACAAAGTGTCTGCTCCTAAACCAGCCTAAAAGTCTCTGTTCATTGAGCCTCACTGGCTCCCCTACACAGGGCCGTTCCCGTCATCCTGAAGAAACTCTTCAGCTCTTCAGAGAGCATCTCCTACCCTAACCTTTATCCCTTACCTCCCCACCCCTTCCACTACTCGTTCTGTACTTCCCTCCATCTTTTCACTGTCTCCACTGTTGCCTCTAACAGAGTCTGACTGGTGTTCTGGTTATCTTGACGTTAACTGGAATATTGTGTCTGTGTTGTGAGTCGCTTTGGATAAAAGCTAAATGCAGGAACAGAAACATATTGACTAGTGGAGATTGCTGATCACATGTCTCTGTTGTCTGCAGTGTCTTCATCACAGAATAAAATGGAAAACATGAATATAAACTAAAAACTACAATCATAAACCAGAAACCAGCTATGAACAAAGAAACTAGAGAAAGAGCAACTAAAAAAAGACAAGCTAAAAAAACAAAAAATAGATATTACACAATACCTAAACACAAACCAGGAAGAAAGTTCAAAGACCTAGGGGTGCTCACAACTTGACTGAAGATCTATGATATCTGTTAACATTGAAAGGTACCAAACAGAGTGAGCCGGACATGGAAACCGCCTAGCCATGTCCGGAACGTAACCGGGGACTTAAAAACCTCTCAGATCCTGTGACCTGCTCAGGACAGCATGCTGGTTCCTTAAACCAGGGTTTCTCAGTCCTGATCCTCAGGACCCAGAGTCCTGCACGTTTTCCATGTTGCCCGGTTCCAGCACACCTGGTTCAGGTGAATGGATCAGGTGTTTAGCTCTGCAGCAGGAGGGTAACGATTAACCTGAATCAGGTGTGCTGGAACCGGGAAACATGCAGGACTCTGGGCCCTGAGGACCCAGGTTTAGAAACACTGCCTCAAACCTTCTCAGTGTGTGGAGATGGAATTCAGTTCAATTCAATACAATTTTATTTCTATAACACCAGACCCCAACAACAACAGCAGGAATCTCCCAGCTTTAACCAGAGCAGCTCAGACTCTGAGTTATTTCCAGAAGAACAACAGTTCCACCAAGAGCAGCACTAGGAGACACAGGGAGGAAACAACTGCCTTTAGGGGGAAGAAACCTGGAGCAGAACCATGGCTAAAGGGTGGGGGGGGGGGGCATCTGCCTGGGCCGATTGGAGGTTTCTGAGGGAAGTGAGAGCTTTTAAAACCAGCCACCGAGACATTGACCAGATTCTTCCCCCCCTCTCCCTGTGTCCATCCCCTCCATCAGAACTGGGGTGCTGTGCATCAAAGACGAGCTGTGCCCCCACCACTTCCTGGAGGAGATCCACTACTGGGGGGTCCGGATCAAGTACAGCCAGCGCTGCTGCCGCATCTCCTTTGAGGAGCGGCAGGACGAGCTGAACGAGCAGCTGAAGATCCAGAAACAGCTCATAGCCGAGGTGGGGTCCCGCTCCTCCGGCTGCTCATGGGTGTAGGTCACCTTTAAGGGGACCTGACTCTGTTTGTGCCACCTGCACATTAATGAATGTCTAAAAAACTCCTGTCTCTCAGCAGGCAGTAGCCTCTGTTTTAGCTCTTTGGTTGAACTCATTCAATAAATAAATCCCCGTGGGATTTGATATAGTGAATATAGGTAATATAATGAATTATGTGTGTGTGTATATATAACATCCCACAGCTTACCTGTGAGTCGATATTGCACCAAACGTGGGTGATAATGTTTTTGTTAATCATTTGAGTTTCCGTTAGCTAAAATGACCGGATCACCTTCTCCAGCTGAACTTGTTCTGCTGCCACTGCGTGTTCTCTCTCTCCACCTGAGATTTCCTCTAATCTCCTGCGTGACCCCGTGTCTATCTGACCTACTTAATAAATCACACTGCTGTCTTGACAGATGGGGGAAAGGAAAATAAGCTTTTTCTTGGCACAGATTTTGTTTCCAGCTTCTCACTCCCGTCAGTTTGTTGTAGGGTTTGGAAGAAAATAAAATCATGTTTGCCCCCCCTGATCCACGTCCTCCAGCTGGAGACGGAGGAGGACCATGCTGGTTTAAAACGAGCTGACCTCCAGGCTGACCGGTCACCACCGACCACCAGCTCTTTTCTCACTCCTAGGCTGAGGATGTCCAGCTCTAAATAAAAATGCTCACACACCTTTTTTAGTGACACTGTTATGAGGTAAAGCTGAGGATGAGGCATATTCTGGTGACCCTGGGCCTGTCTGGCCAACAAAACAAATCTTCTATATGGACAGATGGCCACAGATTCTTTTCTCTTTGCGGTTTGGATTGAAATAAAAGCCTCCTCTGCTCCGTTCCCCT